CATCTGCATGTGTAAGCATCCCCTTGACCCACGTGGCATTGGTCACGTGGGTGCGCTTGTACTGATGCTCCTTCAGCTTGGGCTAATGGGTGGTAATCTAGGCCCGTCATGCGCAGCCCTGTTAAGGTGTTGGGCCTGTTGGGCCTATTCCAACATGATGTTTACAATTTTTCTAAAAAATGATTAAGTAAATGTATAAGATCATATTTTTTATTACAAACATCTGAAATGTGATAGTCTTGATTAGTAAAATCACAAAGATCATATCTTTAATTGAAAACTTTTGAAAAGTGGTAGTTACTGAGTTGAAATTTCATACATATTAATGTAAAATTTTTTTTCTCTTGCTATTATTGACATTTGGATGAATTTCATAAGATTCTAATTTGCTTTTGTTGTTTTTTGCAATAAAGGACTTAATTGAAAGATATGATATTTTTAGGACCAAGCTGCATAGATCAGAAATTTAGGGATTAAATTGCACAAAAAATCAACAGTTAGGAACCAATACTATCATTTGCCATTTTTAGCCAAATTGCATTTTGGCCCAAAATCTGATGCGGACTCTTTTCATAGATTTACTAAAGGTGTTCGCACTTCCATTTTGAGGTGTCAACCCATCAGGAGATTGTTTGATGGAGCACATCTCTTTACTAAACTGAGGTTCTTTTGGTTATTCAATACATGGTAGATCATAAAGAAAGTTATTTTCTTACTTTTTCTACAAAACAAGTAACACTACTAAGCACTCTTGTCACATGACGGCCAAAAAAATAGATTTAAAAAAAAATACTTATATGGCCTAAAAGAAAGTCAAACTCAAATTCATCATCAAACAATAAAAAAAATGAATGTCTTTTATATGAAATAAAGATTATATTAAATAAATAAAATCGAGATTATATATGATCCCTATATTATAGTATATATAGGCAAAGGGTATCTTATAGTACAATCAATGAGAGTTTAGCTTAATGAAAAATTATTGGAATACCTCTCAATTCAACACATCTAACAACATATATCAGTTCAATTATTCTTTAAAATTTTTCATTCAAACTTAAAAATATTAGTCTTTTAATGAAAGAAGCAGTGAATGTTATTAGGAGTATTGAATCGGAAGATCTACCAATCATTATCCTAGCTGAATAAATACCTATTAATATTAAAAACCTTGATTTGAGGTTAAAGTCAAGGATTTCAACCTTTGCAACCAAGGACGGAGCCAGAAATTGAAGTTAGGGGAGGCGAGAAAAAAAGTTAAAAATTTTTTTGTGAGTTATTTATTAATTTACATTGATATAATTTAAACTAATTTTTATATCGGTCACTTATTTTATGCATATATTATTTATTTATGTTTGTAAAACTTTAAATTAATTAGATATATTTAGTTTTATTTTTTGAAAGATATATATTTTAAAATCTCTAAATAAATAGTATAAAACTATAGTTTGTTTTTTTTAAAATGGTTTCCTATATCAAAACAACTTTAAATTTGAAATGTATGATTTATATAAACAAAATAAATTCAACTATTATTTTCATAGTATATAAATTGTACAAAAAGATTATATATAATTAATGTAAAAACTTATATAAGTTATATTAATATAATTAATTAGATCTTGACTATTTTTTAATATCTTTTACCTAAATCAAATTATCATATCTTAAAAACTAATCACAAAAAGATAAATAATTCCTTTACCTAAATCCTAAATTCTTTTTTAATATTTGAATGATCCTAATAATTCAAAACCTCCAAAAACAAAATTTTGAAAAAAATAAAAA